AGTCTTATCTGAAAGAGTCACAGTAACCAAATTATTTCTATGAAATGAAAGCTATATATAAATTTTATGCGTCGGTGTTTCGGCGGTAGAACGCTCTCCAACCACACATATGGTCCAGGGTTCGGTCCTCGGCCAGTAGTATTGCCAGTAAAGAGGAAATGTTGGCCGTGAGGCTAAGAACCTCACTCTGTAAAAAAAACCCACTGCTACTGGAACTCCAAAGCTCTAGCCTGAAGTCCTATGTTCCACTTGGAAGGTAAAGAAATAAAATAATAATAACTAAATAATGTATACAAACCTCTTAAATGTTTAAGAAGGGGAAATAGAGTGAAGGCAGCAGTATGTCATTTTTATTTGCCTCCTAATCGATGAGTTCATCTTGATGTATGAACTGAAATAAGTAACGTCCAGTTACTCTACGCATCGTCATCGAACAAAGTATAGAATGACAGTCAAACCTCTACCTCAACTTTAACGACTTCGAGAAGGCCTTTGACAGATAGAGTTGACCGAGAAGTAATACGGAAACTACTTCAACACTACGGCGTAGCTCAAATCTTTGTCAACCTTATTTAACAGCTGGCTATATGACAATGCCACGTGTCAAGTGGTCTACAACGGAACTCAGTCAGGCGTTCGAAGTGCATACAGGAGTAGGACAAGCCGGCTGCCTATTATCAACAATGATATTCTGAATCGTGGTGGACCGGATTATGCGTCGGACTGTTAGGGGCGAAGAGTCAGGTATACGCTTGACGATCGATAAGAAGACTCCAGAAGATGTGGATTTCGCAGAAGATATATGTCTAATGTCACAAAAACCAACAAACTGGCTGGAGAGGCGGAGATAAAACAGGACTGCAGGTGAACATAGAGAAGACGGAGAGAGAGGTGATGAAGATAACCAATCAGCAGCAACAACAACCAGAACCAATCACCATCAGTAGGAGAGATTTAACAGATGTTACCTTCTTCACTTATCTGGACAGGAAGCGTCGTTTCAACTACAGGCGGAACGGACGAAGATGTCAAAGTGAGAATCGAAAAGATAAGATACGCCTTCATCAACCTGAAACCAGTTTGGAAATCTTCCGCACTCAGCATAGGGAACAAGATTCGCATTTTCAATACCAATGTGAGTTCAGTTCTTCTATACGAATCAGAAACTTGCACTGCGTGTAACGAAAAAGATTTCCAACAGGTAGCAGATTTTCATAAACGGCTACCTTCGCTCCATAGTGAAGATCAAATGGCCACCCAGTCAGAGAGAATAAGCAACAAGAAACTATGGGAACAAACCAACAAAGCAAGAGCCGATCGCTCAACAAATATGTAGGAAAAAGTGGAGATGGATCGGGCATACTTCGAGGAGGCCACCAAATGACATCACACGCCAGGCCATAGCTCGAGTGGAATCCAGACTGGAAGTGACGAGTGGGTCGTCCTAGGGTGACATGGAAGAGATCGTGTGAGGAAGAGATGAGAGAGTTTGGTCAATCGTGAAACTTACCATCTGAAGACGATGACAGAAAACAGAAGAAAGTGAAGATGTGTTGTTGAAGCCCTATGTTCCATTCGTAAACCAAGGGAATAATAATAATAATCTGTCTAATGATATTCAACAGCTTAACAGAATCTGTAGATATGAAATTATCAACAAAGAGAATTATAAAAAATACTAGATAATGACAGTTGTGTTTAGTTTTAGGTTCTGAAAGAATTCTATTTGTCGCCTGATGGATTTCATCACAAATTAATACTAGCGAGCAGTGGATGACAGCTTCGGCCCTTTCTGAGTCTCTTTAGAAGTGCACATACACAATCCATTCTGAGAATTAGCAGGTTTAAAAGTATAAGGCCATACGTATCCGAGCCCATGTTATACTCATGACATAATGTAATTTTTGTTTCGATTTGTTACACACCTGAAGAGTCACACTGCTAAAAACTTTCACATTAATGCCGCTAAACCTTCTTTGATTTCTATTAGTTCTCTAAGTGATTCCATATTAGTTTCTTTGCTTAGCAGATATGAATCTACATACTAATACAATGCTCAGGTTTTACGTAAAAGTGAATCTCCGAGTGATATCGAATTATAGCAAACTGTACAATTAGATAGATGAGATTACGACTGAATTAGAGCCTTTCATATGATTGGAATTACAAACTTTTTAGAAGATGGCTGACAACTTTGTGACGTCCCGTTGTGTTTTTGTCTTCGCTATCATTATTGTCATCATGGCTCACATCGCTATCAAGGTTAATGTGTTGTAATTCATTCATAGAGGAACTGCCTTCTTCTGCAATGTTGCCTCCTCTGATTGGTCCAAGTCGACAGTCAATTTCTTCTGATGCTGCAGACTTGATCTAATTAGAGGAGACAATGCTGAAGAAGAAAAAGAAGCTGATTTCTCTGTGAATGAATTACAAGACACCAAAATCGGAAAGGCGAGATAGGCCTTCATCAACCTGAAATCAGTTTAGAATTCTTCTGCACTCAGTCAACATAAAGAAAAATATTAGGATTTTCATGACAAAGGTGAAGTCAGTCATTTCTTCTATGTAGGTTGGAAACTTGCATTACGCGTGTGTCACGGAAAACATTTCCAATAGACCAGTGCAGACTGTTATCAACAGGGGCCTTGGCTAGCTCGATATTGAAGATCATATGGCCACAAAGAATTAGCAACAAAAAACTCTGAGAACAAATCAACAACCAAGAGCCGATTGCTCAACAAATACCCAGAAGAAAATGGAGATGAATTGAGCACACACTGAGGAAGCCGTCGAATGACATCGCTCGAGTGGAATCCTAATGAGATGCGACGAGTAGGTTGTTCAAGTGTGACACGGATCGGCTAAACCGGAACTTTGTATCCAAAAAGAACTCCCCCAGACACTATTCCTACTGTGGTCAAACTTTGACTGATGATTCTTCTCCTCATCAAGAGTGCTTCTTCCCCTCAACCCAATTGGTTTTTTTTTTCCATTGCTTATTATTACAATTATTATTATTGGTCTAAATTTATAACCTTCCTGCAAACATTCTGTCAAAATTATCGAATTTTTCATTTATACTATCCGGAATTACTATTAATAATATTACCTCTTTTCTCAATATATGCCTCCACCTGTTTCATTTCACACATTCGTTATTTCATTATGAACCTCTCATTGCAGTCTTACTATCTATCTCCTGCTTAATACATACCACTTTGTACTAGCCACTCACCTGACACCTTATCTATTATGACTAATCACCAACATTGTCTCCCATTTGAAAATATTTTGTAATCGATTTCAGCCTAGCACGACGTTTGTCACACAAATACGACTATTTATTTTGACACCTCATACCTGATCTGTTATTCTACATTAAAAATGTATCCACCGCATAACTGGCCATTATTGTAACGACAACAAATATTATATTTTATTTTTGTAAGAAGCTGAAGAGGAGAAACTATTGATAAGAATATTCTTCATTCAGATTGACCTATAATTCATGATATGGGAATATTTCACACTATTAAATTATAGAGTATGAGTACACACAGGTTCCCTAGTTTATTCACACCTTCTAACATCCACTTATCTTCAGATATTTGTTGTTTTTTTTCCGTTTTATTTTTAAAGATAATCTTCAAATCAACTACATATGGAAAAATAATATCACAATTAACTCTTCATATTCATATCCGGCCACCAATAATTGATCAGAGTTTTCGATGTTTTCATCCTGAATTAAGTTTCTTGAAGAAAATTTTACGTCTTCCTCGAAGTGCTATAGATGGGAGGAATATTTCTGCCGCCAAACAAAATACAATTCAACAGACTAACCATCAGCTGTGGACTAGAGTTTCTGATCCAGATGTTTTGACTTTATCAAATGTCCAAGGGGATACAGTTGATATATTGATTAAAGTTGGTCTAGGGAAATCACCACAAGTAAGATGATTGAAGTGTGTTTTATAATAAATAACTGATTTAGTTTTGTTGAATGAAGATATGCGGGAACACACAAGTAATTCATTTGCATATATTTGTGTATTGATTACTATCTGATTTCTTTATTGTGTGACACTACAAAGATTCTGTTTTGAAATGGAACCTTCTATCATTTTACTTTTTAATCGACTGTTATACGCATTATTTTCTTCATCCTGAAACATCGTGATCAAACCGCCTTGACTATAAGAAAAAGGAAATGTAACAACGTTGTATGAAAGCAAACTAAACCCATCTTTTTCTCATATTCCAGTAAATATTTCCCCTAGAAGTGGTTGTTTCTATAACTCAAGAATTTGGATCCTGTCTGTCTGTCTGTTTTCGACATAGAACTTTGCACATATGTGCGGCAGTTCAAGTCGCCACACTCCATGTAGCACACAAAGGAAGAGAAGAAAGTAGGAGAAATGCATAATATAGACAGTAAACAGAGGTGTGAGACAAAGGAGTAGTAATAACGAAGAACAAAACAGTTTAATTGGAAATCATAAGTCACAAGGAGTGGATGCATCTGCGTCACTGAGAACGATTTTGATCCATGTCACCAATTGTTTCCAACCATTGGTTTTTACCGTCCCGAGGACCCCAACCAGGAAGTCTACATCTTCCTACGTGGCTTAGACTAACTGTTGTGGATTTCATTGATTGGTGCCGACCGAAAGCTGCTACCTTGACGTGGTGGTCGGGCTTGCATATCGCAATGACCCAACGAGCTACACTGGCTGGAACTTAAGTTCCTGTAGGTCCTACCATGCCAGAAAGGTTGTTTGGATAGCGGTTAGACAAAAAGCAGCTACCCAATCCAATGCCATGACTCAAACAAAATATCATGCCGGATCGATCGGGGCCCGGATTAACAACGACCGCGCTTCCTGCTGCCGTGTCACAGGGCAGAAGTGATAAATACGCTACTGAGACACACCAAATAAAAAAGAACAAACAAAAACAGGCCGTGTGTGACCGGCCTCAAGCAGTTGTCCCTTGGGCTCTGCGGTCACGCAACCAACTTCCACGGTGTGGGAAGCCGGGAAGTAACAATCGCCCTCACACTCCAAAGTGCACGCAAAACCTCTCTATTCCTCACTCATCCTTGTATCCATCTTCATCTCTATTATCTTGCCTTCCTTCTACCAATGCAACTCCTCTACTTGATGGCCCTTCACTTCCTCTTCAATCTGTGTGCACTGATAACGATGGAAGCCAAAAAGCCACCATCGATAGTCTCCTAAAGAATTTGGATCCACTCAATAAATTATTCTGTCTGTCTCTCTCTCTCTCTATTTTTGACATAGAACATTGCACAGATGGGCAGCAGTTCGAATTGCCACACTCCATTCATGTGGCGCACAAAGCAAGAGAAGAAAGTAGAAGAAATGCATAATAGAGACAATAAACAGAGATATGCGGCAAAAAGAATAGTAATATCAAAGAACCATATAGTCTCATTGGAGATTATAAGTCACAAGGAGTGGATGCATCTGCACCATCACTGAGAACGATTTTGAGCCATATCACCAATAGTCTCCAGCCGTCATTGGTGTTTACCGACGTGACGACCCCAACCAGAAAGTGTACACCCTCCTACGTGGCCAGCTTAAACTAACTGCTGTGGATTTCATTGACTGATGAAGCCATGTTTTGGTTTGACCACCACTTACTAGCTCTTTTCCAGCCTTACCCTATGTCATCTAACATTGCCCGTCGAGGAAGGCAATGGCTAGTCATACATAACACATGTCCTAACCATCTCAGTCTATGTAGCTTCACAGCCTCATCTATTGATTTCCCCTCCTACCTACCTAGCATTCGATGTCTAACCTCAGTATTGCTCACTCAATTATACCACTTCACACGGGAGATAGAAAGTAGGCACCTATGATCAAAGACAACTAGCCAGCCTTTTCATGTCTTCAACTCAGTGGCCATGTCTCGTTCACAACCATAAAGCTGGACGGAGTGGACTGTCGTTGAGCAGTACACCCGCTCTTTGGTCGATGGCCAGATATCACCTCTGCGCCAGAGACGGCGTAGACTGGTATATGCGAAATTAGCCTTCTGTATCCACGCTGAGATTTCGTCAGAGATCAACCGGTTGAGGCTGATGCAACTTCTCAAATAAGTGAAGCGGTCAGTGTGCTCTACCACTTCACTCCCTATTTCTAAGCTAGGAGTCGATGTAGTCCAGTCATGTAGCATCATCTGACACTTGGTAGAGGGAGGGAATCGCATGCCAAAAATTTGAAGATTACAGCTCCTCAAGGTGTTCAGAAGACTCTGCATTTTGTCAGCGTCTTCACCTAGGAGGGACGACTATATCATCTGCATATTCTAAGTCAACCAGATTATCCCCTAATAATAGATCAATCCCTGACTCACTGAATTCAGTTAGGGTTAAATCCATTAGTACATCTATAATGAAAGTGAACAGAAATGGTGATAGTGGGCATCCCTGTCGGACACCAGTAGTTGTCACCAGTTCAGATAACAACTCGACGATTTACCACTCCCAGCCATACGGGATGACATTTTTAGACTGAACTTGTGTTATTTTACCCGTGATCATAAAGATTGCTTAAACTGTGACCGCTCTAATACGACTTACTCACATTACTAATGACTATATTTCTGATTACAAGACATGCTCATAGACCATTCATCCACTGGGACTAGATCCAAGGTCCTATGAGTTCTAACTTCTGACAACTCGTGATTTTAGCGTGACTACCAAACAATGCTATCGATGAGTATATATCCTCACTCCCGACTGAATGGACCCCACTGGTTAGGACTTCTCACAAAAATTCACTAAAATAAGTTCGTCGTGGACAGCTAGCCAGTGAGTGCCTCCTGATTTTCACTGGTTCTCTAACTGATATCAATGCGTAGTCGAAACAGCAACAAATCAAACTAACGTTTGATAATTAATCTGGTGCTCGCTAGTGACTGGCTACATGACAAAGTCACCTGGAGTTTAGGTGAGGAGTCGGTGACTAGGGGACTTCATCCTGTCGGCGGAAGTGAGGACAAACACCCACCGATGATAATTTCCGATGGTCGCGCTAAAATCACGAATTAGTAGAAGTAAAAATTCATGGGCTAGCCATTGAGGCCTACAAACTTGCCCTATAAAACCGGGAGGTCTTGGGTTCGAACCCTAGTGGGTCAGTACTGTCGACTGCATTTCTGCAAGGTAGATTAATTCATACTCAGAAAATTGTTTCTCAAAATATAGGATATTAAATCATATGACCAATCATGGTTTTTCCTTATATAATGTCAATAATCTGATTAAGTGTCAACCACTATGCTGCATTGTTTCAACATAAATGCTTCTTTACCCCCTGTCCACTCTTTTCTTCTTAAATTGAAAAAGTACAAAGAGACAGAGAAGAAATGTTTTAGCAGATTGATGATTATGACTACCTATGCATATAATGACGTTTTTTTCTGTTCATTTAAGGTACGTGAATTTCTTATCAGTGTCTACGTAGAACCTTTTCAAATTCGTCCAGCGTATATCTGGCACTGGGCTGTACATTCACTTCAACGAGTCGATGCTATTGCAACAGTTGGACAGTTATCCGCTCCATTAGGATTATTATTACGTACAGATGACTGTTCTCCAAATATTGGTACAAAACGTGTCAGTGTATACACTAGTCATCCCAACGAAGTTATAATTGGTACAGAATTTAATTCAAGTAGCTTTCAACAGAATCCTATGGGGAAAGAATTAACATTATCTGTTTCATCACGTTCTGTTTATGAATTGAAGGTTGGTTTATTTTGTTAAGTCTATATTTTTTTGAAGTTTCCGTGGCTATTGGGTTGTGCTCTTTGCTGGATGAAATTGCTAACCCCCACATCCAACCTTTCCTCTTTTTCCGGGCATGGGACAGGCTAGTACACTAGGGGACTAAGAGAAAGGTGCTGCAGAAGTCATCTGCTTCACTCAGGACCCAAGGGGTGAATGAAAACGTAAAAAGTCATTTGATCACTTCTTGTATGACTATAGCTTTGCTGTCACCATGCATAATCATATCATAGCTTCCACTACTCAATACTGAGTTATCATTATATGATGTTTATTTTCCTTTCTACTTCTTGGTATTTTTTCGCATTTATAATTATTTTGTGTTTATCCTGTTTTTTTTTTGCTGTTGGTGTCTTTAGATTTATTTTTTTTTTGTTTGTTTGTTTAATACTCCTTTTAAATGTTTGTAAAATTAGATGCATATATTGTAGATGTGTGCTGAAAATTCCACACTGTACCACTAGTACTGTTTCTGGAATAAAGCAAATTATTATTATTATTAAATAATAAAAAGACAGCTACAGAGTAGAAAATCTTCTTTCCGACGAAGTCATCAACTAGGCTGTACATTCGTGTATTTATAATAAATGGGTGAGAAAGTTCCAGAATAATTTCCGGTCAAGGGTCAAATTAATAAAATTACAATTGGGAATTAAAATACCATAATAAACAGGGGGACGGATAAAACTCAAACACAGTAGCATCATAACTATTGGGAAGATTGACATATTGTGCACTTAGGAGTTACAAATTTAGAAATAACAAAAATAGACAGGATGTTTGGATGAAAAATATAGTGGGATCATAACTAATGTGACGAACAATTGTTGATACAATCAGCGATTAAATATGTAGAAATAATAAAATGACATAAGAGAGTAAGTTCGGATATGAAAATATGGTAGTGTAAATAGGAATCACGAAGACCTTGAAAATAAAATGAATAAACAGGAGGTTTGGATAAGAAAGGCAATGGGATAGTGATTACTAAAAGAATTACCTGTTTATGATGCCCATGGCAGGAACAAGAGTTGGACGTATTTCTTCTGGATACATAGCGTGGGTTTGAGCTTTTGGATGGCTAGTGCCTCGGATACAGGTATATAGTTCAGTGACAGAACATCTGGTCAATTCAGGACATTCAGTGCCATTCGAAAAATGCTTCAAAGTAATATACAAGATTCCATCAAACCTATCAAAGGGAGTAAAATTAAGACATCCGGGCATATCCGAGGCACTAGCCATCCAAAAGTTGAAACCCACGCTATGTATGCAGAAATATTTATAATGTAGACAATTGTAATTGTATGGCTTTATTCATATTCATTCATCGTTAATTTCACTGAATACACGAATCACCATCTTCCAGTTTTATGCGGAATGATAGCTGCTAGCTTGAAGTGGTGGTAGGGCTTGTATATCACAATGACCTACCGGGTCACACAATCTGGAACCAATCTTCCTGCTAGTTCTACCATGCCAGAAAGGTCGTTTAGATAGTGGTTGGACAAAAGGCAGTTACGATCGTTTACAGTATGTTGGGAGCCTGAGAGCAAAGTCGTACTTCTGACGGATAAGGATGTAACAACAATAAACTGTCTTCCTCAGATGACCAGCAAACTATCTATGCTGTCTCTTCGCTCTAGGGAAGGAGCTTCAAAACTAGATCGACCAAGAAAATTGCACACCTCAACTTACCTTGCGGCGGTAAGATCTTAATACGGACAGAACTCCAAAAATCACTTCCAACAGGCCATACGACTGACCTCTGTGGTCACGCAACACTAATTCTCCTTCTGTTTTAGGCGCTTCAAGAAAGAATCAACTTCTGCAGTGTGGACATCCGGGAAGTAACAACCGCGTGCACACTTCTATAAGCATACAAAGCTTTTCTGATCAATACAGAACTTCATTTCTATCTTTTCCAGGTTTGATATATGCAGTTTTGCTTATCTAAGATAACCAACGTAGAATGATTAGAAGGTGGATATGAAACTTATTTTGCAAAATTTATGTTTTTAGTGGGGAAATCACGGCAGTAACACACCCTCATTCATCTACATATTAACTAAGAACACCGAATTTCTTGTCTATCACCTACTAATTTTTAACCAAATTATAAAAAACCCAGAAGAACACAATTACAACAAAAATTAAACTCTGTTTAATAAAAATTTTTTGTCATTGTGAAGGTGAAATTATGTCCGAGATCCTCTGGTAAGAAAGTCTATCAAATCAATGTGGTGGATATAGATAATCAACGAGTAATACGTGCTTGGATTTTATGTGTCGACGCTAGGCAACCAGAAGTTACAAAATCGTTCAACATAAAACTGCCTAAACGCGGTATTAATGAATCTTGTAACAAGCGTGTTTCTTATACTAATCCATACAAATGTAATAAAACGTTGGTACTAGAAACTAACAGACCTGACCTGCTGAAGTTCAAGGTAAGTTTCATAATTTATCGTTATATTTTCCTCGGAATAAATAAGTTGGGATGAGTTCAGTATTAGTAGTGCTTAGAATCTGAATTCATTTGGTTGGCTTTAAACCGATCGGTTCATCCCACCTAATTGATGGTGTTCTTATCGAAGTAGTAACTATACGCCTGTCGGTCTCATTTACTATATTCTAATACAACAAGCAAGTTTTTACTCCACTACTGATCGAAACTATCATATTGTCTTAACAGTTAAAAAGCAGGTAGTATTGTAACGACAGAAGACAAGGGCCAGGCAACAAACCGTTTATTGGGAAAATCAAGAGGTATTTACATATTTTTACGTACATTATTATTCGTCATTATTAGCAGAGAAACAGCGTCTTCTGATTGGTTGTTTCCTCGCTGAAAGTTATTCTGTCATCTCTTTGTGGCCATTTCTTTGAAGGTCACACCATATATCTGTGAATCGTATCCGCCTGCGCTTTGTTCTTGTTTTTTCTCATGACCAAGATTCAGGACGTAAACATTGACGTAAATTGCTTGCTGTCTACCAATTTTGGCTGGCCGATAGCTCTCACCACAGTGTTATAGATATTATAAAGAGTTCATATATTAACAAAGGTGACTATGTTAGATTTAATGAACTAAAATAGTACTTTAACTGAACACTAGGCAACAGGTAAAGAATGTCAAGCGTCTAGTCCTTTGTTTGATGCAGACTGAATTCTACCAGCCAAGTTCGCAATGTGGCTACTAAGGTAGCTCACCATCACACTGTACACTGAATTGGTGTTATTAGGCGGTTGGAGACAATCAACAGGAAATCTTGGACGTAGGTTTCGTGCTTGTTGGCACTCATCAGTAATGCATAACTGTAGCATCTAACATGAAGCTGCTTAGTGAAATAGTACTGCTAATAATAGATAATACTGGTGTTCTGATGTATCTAAATGGTGATACGACACTCCGGTGACGAAGACTTGTAAATTCAAACAGCCAATCAGTTTGATGTTTACATTGACAGCCTGTCAGTCGACACAACACTCAAGAAGTTACTGACTACTCCGTGTAAATTATTATTTGGTTTGGTTGGAGCTTTTGAAAACGTTTGAAATCAATAGTGTTCTCTGAGCTGGCTAGTTTAGTTGCAGAGCTTTCGTCGTACTTCTGGACAACATCTTCAGCGCAATTTTTAGCGTAAAGTGAAGTGATTTAAATTTCTTCATGAGTGACAGAAATTTGTATTCGTCAATTCCATTTCATATAAGTTTATTTGATATAATGTATAATGATACATAAGAAGAACTGAATAATGTTTCCAGTATACTTTACTGCTCCTGTGATAATCACAGGGGATTAGCTTGACTAATATAGTATCTAAAGTGCTAGGCTCAATAATAATGCGTAAACTTGACCTAAAGGCGGCATTCGATTCTGTTGACTAAGAAGTACTCTGTCGATGCTTGGCTATAAAGGCAATGCCGAGAAAATACATTGCACTGTCCAAGGCCCTCTACTCGAACTCATGCAGTCAGCAAGATGAGAGGTTACGGCGAGTTGTCATCTGAAGTGGTGACAACTAGTGGTCTTTGCTATTTTTTAAATCATGGAAAATTCCCATTGTAACATATAGAAAATCAAAACAAATGATTCAGCGAAGAGACTCTTTTCAACGAATTTATCATCAAGCTGTACAATCGTATATATATGGTTTTTTTTATAAGAAGTTATATCCGGTGAGGGAATTGAAACATAGGTGTGAATGCATGAAATAATAATAATATGAAGTGCAATTAAAACTAAAATGTTTGTGATTATAATCGTAGTTAAAGGTCAAGTGGCAAAGCAAATTAATGTCATATATAGAATAATTCATAGGATGGATAGAACTTGAAAAAGGTGTGCAATTATAAGATTAGTAGACAAATCGAAGAAATAAAAACGTTACGTAATATTGTGTGAAATTTAATAGCATAGAATTTAATGTTGCATAAAGGAATTGATTTAGAATGACAAGGGGAACAAGTGAAATAATACCGGGGACAATTAAAAGTGAGAGTAGTAATAGTAACAATTGACTTAATAAGGAAGAGTATACAAATTGAATAGACAAAAATGAAAAAATGGAGAGTTGGTAGAGCTAAAGTATGATTGGGGATTACCATACTTTAGCATAGAGGGATTAAGACCATGAAAGTTGGAGGGGTTGAACGAACTTCTTCTGTACACAGAGATCTGGCTTCTTTGTTTCGATAGCCAAAGCTTCAGCAATACAGATGAGTCGGGTACGTAGGGATTTGGGTAGATTACTCTTTGCCTTGTAGATGACTTTGAAGGCGGAGGCTATAGAGATAGGGTGATCATTATCGACCATACGTAGATGACACCTTTATTATTTGTAATAGTGATTGTAACTTAAATAATATATTAGATGTATTTAATGGTTGCCATCCGGCGATAAAATTCACACTCGAAATGGAGAACGAGTCTAGCATGCATTTCCTCGATGTGAACTTATCAAGAAGGACCGATG